AACCACACGAAACACACGTGAACAATTCTTAACTGTTACTAATTTATAAAGAAAATACAAGTATAATGTTCTATGAATAAAAGAACAGTTACAGTAAAGAAAAATTTTTAAATATGCATTACATCTTAATTCTATATAATTATTCTTTTGTTTTTCACTTGCACTTGACATTAGTTGATGGCAACTGATTCAAGTAAAAAATATTGTTCCTTATAAAAAAATACACACATAAATGTTATATATAGAAAAATTTATGTACTCTTCTATTATCAGGACTGGATTCGGAAATGTATGTATGGGTGTATGCACTTTTATATGTGTGTTTATACACAAACATACATGCCATACGTACATATATACATGCATATATGAACGCATTCATCCATACACACATTTCTGAATTCGGCCCTGATAACAGAAGTGTACCAAATTTTGCCACATTTTGTTAAATGAATAGTGTAAGGTAGAATGGTTCTGGTTTATTTGATTACGGCAAAGCCCGTTTAGGCTATCTACCTAAGGGTATAGATGATGTCCTTGTGTAGTACTTTCCATTGAAAACTGGCACATATTCATATTACATGTGTATACTCAGCTATGAAATATGCACCAAGAAACTGAAATTGTCAACAACAATTTAATATACTTTATTTTTGTGTTACATACGAATGGTACATTGTTTTTGGACAAAGCTATATGAAGCATACACAATCAACCTCATTCAAATACTAAATATTTAAGTATTCTCTGATTATCCAACCCCTAGTTTCAGCATTTTATAAAAGTGGTAGATTTTTCTTTTTTTTATGCATTTTGGGAACAAATGCGACCAAAGGCAGCATACACAAATTGATTTACATATTTTATAATTAAACGTCATTTCACTGACAAATACTTTTTTATCATAATGAATTACAATATAATTCTTTAGTCTATGTACTTATAAGAAAGAAAGCATTGGATTTCTTTACAAATACAATGTTTTCTGTAAGAACAAAGAATAAAAAATTTGGGTACTTTTCAGTTTTGCTGGCGCAGGCGATAAAGTCGCCAGTGATGGTACAACCAATGCCAAATGGAATATCCTTGCTGGTAACCCTTTACATCTCATTTTCAAAAGAAGTCACAGCCATTTCTTATCAGATTGATTGTTCCTTTCAATACTGGCATACAATTACATAGAATTTTTACCAGATAGTTCAATTTTATGCCCTAAGGTGATTCGCGGGGGTTTGGTTTGGTTTATTAGATTACAGCAAAGCACTCGAGGGCTATCTGCCTTAAGGGAGGGATGCCTTTGTGGAGGACTTTATAAGGGAAACTGGTTCGTATACAAGTTACACATGGGGAAAACCACGAAAACACCCATGCAGCCGGCCTGTTTGCGGGATTCGAACCTCGGACCGAACTACCAGTGTTCAGCGACGTTACCGCTCGGCCGCTGGTGGCATTCGCAGGGGGTAATTATGTGAATTAGGATGCTATCATACCGCTCACCCGATGGCAAAAATATAGAAAAGGCAAAGTCAAAGGTTAAATTCATTAATTCTAATCAGAATGCACTAGCAAAGTAAAGCACTGTGGTTTTACATAATTTCTGATTAAGCTATTGAAATCGTACAAACTGAAATAATTCTTGCATTTAAACTTGTATTTCAAATTAAGATTTAACTTGAAATTACTGTAGATAATTACTGAGAGAATTAAATTTTTGTAGTGTACTTTACGTGAAATGAGATCACTTGGGGTCATGTGATGTGAACCAGCGAATGAGGATGTTTTACCATGAAAGCATAGTAAATTCTTAAATTAATGTCTTTTTGGAAATTTATTGGCTTTTTTTACAAAATTTTAAATGACATTTAAATGTTTATACCTTTAAAATAAAAAATTCTTAGAACTAACATTTGTCTATATTTTTTATGTATATACTGTGTGTTGTCGTCAATAAAGTCTGCTTTGCGCTGGCGAAACGGAAAAGTACCAAATTTGCATTCTATGAAATTGTACTTTTTAAATGATAAAATTTTAAAATCTACTATCTGAATATTAGAATATGGTTGGAAAATTACCATAAAATTTGTTGTTTCTACCAAAACGCTTTTAATATTCTGCGATGAAATGGGATAGTTTTTATGAGAATTATATTATGGTACTGGAAATGGCTTCTTGTTTGCTTAAGAATTATAACCAAATAGTGAAGCTCTTACAACAAATTTTGTCTGATTAATATAATTTATGCCTTTTTTTAATGAAATGGCTGTTGTATATAATGATTGTAGTTGTTTAAGAGGTATGTTATATTTTCCCATGAAACCATTATGGCATACTAAAATTCATTTGATAAGTTTAATTTATTTTTGGTTGTTGGGTATTATATTTCTATGCAAATACATTATGGTATATTGATGATTATCGTCAAACTCCTAATATTTTTACTCTACTTTCGACCATTTTTGGCTAACAAAAACTGATAACAATGTACGTTAGCCCCAATAATGGATAAGCATGATATCAAAACGTACTCATAAATTCTCGGTGGTTTCATATAACACTGAGAAATCCTTAATAAACCACTTTTATCTGTCGATTATCGAAGCAAATAAATAGTTCCTCCCAAATTTCCACAAGTTTCAACATATAATTTTTCAAAGTTTTTTATATGCTATATCTGTATAGTTTCTGTTGATCATGTAACTCAAAAAGAAATATCTGTTTCTCCAATATATCTGTTCAATAATTTTTGTAAAGGACAAATATTTCCATCAAATCTTCTTGACTGACAGGAAAAAGTATGTAGATAATGTGTGAAGTTATTATAGCATAGGGAAAGACATGACACACATTTTACAACAAATCTGATTTTTTTTTGTGTATGTGTCTTTGGTTACTCTAAATGCTATGATTTATTTAGGAAATTTAAATAATTCTTTAGCATAATGTAATTTATATCATCTATGTTGCTACAATTATGTTTCAATACAAGACCATCATGTCAGTGTATGATTTCTTAAGTGTAGTCTTGGTTTCTAATCTTTGTGTAATATAATACGGAGAAGCTCGTACTGTGAATTTTGATATATATAATTTATTCTTGTATTAGATTGGAATGGACTCGGTGTTTTCATTTAGGATGTTTCATATTCAAAGAGTTAGTTCAGTGTTTCATATTCAAAGATGGTGAAGTTCATACAATGTAATTAATTAATAGACTTATCACACAGACTTTTTTAATAGACTTATTCTTAAATTTTTGGTTCAGACACAATGTTAATAATTAAAAACAGCATTAGAAAAGCAAAACTGGTTAAAAGAAAACTTCAGTTATTTTTAAAATTGACATTTTATATTTAAATGCTTTTGTTAATATAAAAACAACAATAAACACATTTCTAAATAATAAGGTTATTAAGAATCCTTAAGAAAATTTGGAACATTTATAAAGGTTTGCAAGGTGGAAACATAATCGATTTTATTATAAATTACATGGTTTTGACATGTTTTGAGTATGCTCTTGCTGGATTGGTAGGAGCTTGGTGATTCTGTTATGAACAAATCTTAACAGATAAAGATATAACATGTGAATATAGAATCTAAAGGAAAGGTAAGGTTAGATTAGGGTCTTTGAATATGACTAAGCACATTGGTTATCAGCCTGAAGAAGAATGCCTTTATGAAGAACTTTATAGGGGAAACTAGTTCGTATTTGCAAAAAGAAAAAAAAAATGCACTGCTTGTTCACCCGGATTTGAGCTGAGATTGAACTACCAGTTTTGACCACTCGTAGGACAAATCTAAAGAAAATGCTTGTAATATTATGTAATCAAAAGTTAACTACATGTTATATGGCAGGATTGCTTTCTCAAGTACTGAGGTAGGTAATACTTAATCTGCTTTTTTTTTCTGAAATGTTTGGTCATGGTATTATTCATTGCATGTATTTTCTATACATACAGAATATTAGGATAGTAATAGTTCTATAACAAGTGCTTTGCTTGTCATTTTTAAGTGCTTTGCTTGTTGATATTCCCAAAATTGCATCTGATGATTAGTGCTATCATGCGTATAATAAATACAATAGATGCATATAATAGATCAATATATTTTTAGTATACATATAATGATTCAATATCATTTTTATGGGGAAAAAGACACTTTTGACTGCACAGATTTTCTCAAAATCCCAAGTAAAACACATATGAAATCATTTGTTTACAATCAGTGAACCTTAAAATCAGCTACCTATCACAATACAATAAAACAGCGACACAATTTCCCACAACAGCCAGCAGTTCCTCCTTTACATGAACAAGAATTTTTTTTTAGAAATTTTATTTGTCCTTTTTGAACAATGAAATGTTCTTCGATTTCATGCGATCAAGACGCTATAGAACTTATCCTTAAATAGAATGCCAAAACTTGTACATTGGATTTCAAGTAAAATTCCGTGCATTACCAAATGAACAGCTTTTTAAAATTCTTTCTGCTTCAGTAATACAGCGAGAATTTACGCCTCCTTGAACAAAATCAAACATTTCGGAAGAGCTAAGCAACTCCATTTTTGAATGTACGAAGTCAGATCACAAATCAAAATACCGAATTTTATACGCTATACTAATGTGTGAAAGCGCCATCTGTAGGTGAATTGAATCGCGGATAGTTTTTGCTTTCTCGTTCGATATTTTTCGAACCAAGAATGCGATGGAAGCATAACTCAGGTTCCTTGCAAGCTCGTGATTTACACTGGTGTACACAACAAAACGTGTGGTTTGTACTTCTTTCTAAGTTATGCATATGCCCACAACAATAAAAAATAAAACGTTTAATTACTTTTGGATCACAAACACGCTTCATAAACTAAGCATTGTCAAACCTAAATACCGATTTTTAATGTTTCCACCTTTTAGCCACTAGATGGCGTATCAGAGCGCTGAAATCGCGGATACTTGCCTTGTATGAAACATAAATTTTATATCTGGCATCACGCTGAAGAAGGATAACAATTGCGTTCACTTAGTTCAGTACCCTCGCCATGTTCCTTGTTATAGTAATGTCATTTTAAATTTTTTGGATTTTGTGTGTTATTCATATTATTTATAGTTTAAGTTCAAAAACTGGTGCTCATTATTATTTTTCGGTATTATTACAAGAGGGGAAGATCTGTCATCTATAGTACAAAATTTTACGCATAGCTAATAGTTTGTATAAATTATGACGAGGTAAGTAATATAATGATCAAACTAATCTGTTTTTTTATGTTACTCTGTATTATAATTTTGTAACGAAACTATTTATAATATATATTTGTTGAAAGTTTCTGTCAGGTATATAAAATCTTCCGGGTTTGTAATGAATGCAGACCGTATTTAAAATAAATTTTCCAAAGAGCAAGTACCTTACAAAACATCAAAATGGCAGGTGTTTTTATATTAAAATAATAATGTTTATGATATAAATCAGCAGTGAGGAAGAAGTTTATAGTATGAACGTTATTCTTCCAGTAGTTTACGCTTAATAAACAGAATTCATATTGTGAACATTATTTATCTATTGGTTATTTTGGAGAATTCACAGAACCGTTATCCTTTCTTTCTATAATGTGTAAAATCTAACGGAATTCCCCCCTCCTTTGTGCTTGCACATTTTGCTCTAATTTTGAAGTACATAACTGTCTTAAAATTAATAATTATTTTTACATTAGAGGTTAAACGTAACATTATTAGCTCATTAGCAGTAAAGTTTCTAACTCGGTCCCAATTCTTTTAAATTTTTTATAAGTATTTTATTGTTTTGATGTAATTTTGTATAAATGTTGTTAGTTTCCTATTTTTGACAGAACCGTCGTGTTTAACATTAATAAAATATATTAATCAGTGATGGAAATGATCAATGTTTGATCATTTCATTTTTTCCCCTGGGTATTTTTTATTATTTTTTATTCAGGTGTTTTTAATGTAACAGAAAAAATTTCAAGGAGCAACATCATATGGAAATACTAACTAGTAATTTTTAAGGAGGGTAACAATATGTTTTGATATCATTAAGCCATTTTGAAGTGGCTATACTTTGTGTTATTTCATAATAGTGTATGAAAAATGCACAATCTGGTTTGAATGTAATTCTTATATGCGTATAATTCTTCAGTTTCCATGAATTGAAACAAAATTTTGACATTGTTTATATCTGTCAAAATGTGTTTTATGAAACAGTTTCTGATAAGAAGTGAAAGGTTTTCACTTTTTCCCTGCGGTGTAATTATATATATGTTATGAATAATTAATATACGCCGAAGCGCGCAATGAATTGGAAGTTGATCTGTCAGCACTATCCTTATCTTCAGGGCAGATGTTTTTATTTTATTTGGCTTATAGTTTCTTACTAAATGTAGTATTTCATCTCAATGTACTCCATCTTTGATATGATTTAAATCAAATTCCTCGTCATTATAATTCGCTTCCGATAGTGAAGAAAGTGACATGGAGGTTATTGAAAACGAAAAAATTTCGATCGACAGTCGGTATTCTCGACACAGCAATTATAGGACTTGACAGCGGAACTTTGTAACTGAAGAAGAAATTATGTCTGTTTATAGAACTAAAGAGAAAGTATTATCACATAAAACAAAGCAACTTAACTTACATTGAAAGAAATGTTTATTAAGGTAAAGAAATAAATATTAAGCTTTTTTTTTTTTTTGTAAATAGATCATAATTGTTCTTTATTTCATAATTTTGCTGTGGGTATCATAAATTACAGTTTCATATTTTTAATTTTATAATTTCTGCATGTCATCTTACCAGATTTAAACTGATGATCGATAATCCGGAATCGCCGAAGTCCCGACGAGTCCGGATTAATGACTTTTGACTGTATTTTATTAAGTAAAAAGAAAAATTTCAAAATTCATAAGTTCTTTGAAGTATATAATATTATAATAGTTGTGGGTCTTTCTGCATGTTTTTTAATGTGCTGTGTTCATAATTATGCTCATTTCAGAAACAGTACACGCCATGTGCTCTTCGAAGCAGCGAATTTAGGGAAGCACTTCTGCAGAAAACCTGGTAAATATAAACATTGCCAAAAATGGCGGCTGTACTCTTATATGCACCCTAATTTCACCGAATGTGCCGATTTTAAACTTGCTATTATTTTGCTGTGGGTATCATTATTTGAGTATGTCTGAGGTGGGTAAGAGGATGAATGTTGATTAACTGCAGATGAGCTAAAGCGACTAAAAATTTAATTGAATTGCTTACATGGAGGAGGTGGCAGAAAGCATAATCATATACACGTGAAAAAAAGGTTTGGTAAAAAAATTGACGTTTCATTTATATATTCCTTTCTGTGTGTTAAATTTTGTTAAAACATTTTGTGGTGAATCTTCGGATTACGGTAACTTGGCGACCAACCTTGCTACAACAACCTGCTAGTTTTTTTTTTTTTTTTGGACGCCATTTTGTTTTTTATGAAGTAAAGGCATATTTTTTTTTACTCAACATTTTTTCCTACGATCTGCTAGCCGAATTACGCTTATGTTAGAACTTTTATGGAACAAAAGTGCTTAATCATGACTAAGATTAGGTGCGAAGTTGGTAGAAAGCGCATAATCGCCCACTTCTTACCGCGTTTTAAGAATTGCACATATATGGTATCCATGTGCACGTCAACATATTTTTACTTAAAAAAAAAAATCCTAGAATTGCACAAAAATGGTATTACGCACACTCTTGACTTTATCCATGTACACATCGACCTATTTTCACTTAAAAAGTCAAAGAAAATTGACAAAAATCCAATTCTTCTTACTGTTGTAAAAAGTGCCAAATAAGTGGGTGATTTTGCACTTTAGCAGCGGAATTTTTTCTAAGTACTTATTAGCTAAAATCACGATCAGAATTTTCCGCAAAATGTCACATTACATGTCTCAGGATTTCTCGTTTCTCTAAGACAAAATAATCTGCGATTCGAACTGTGTACTTCTCAGATTATTGCTAAAGTCCTAGCTATTAACCTTTATCACCTTACCAAAATGTCACCAAACTATCTGTTACCAAATTCCAAAGATTAGCCCATTTGTTGTTTAATGTTTTTATGTTAGGAAATATGTATTTTTGGTTATTTATGACTTGGTTTTATTACTCTGTTTGTATATTTTTGGTTATTTGTTCGTCTCTGTGTGTTAAGACAGCAGCAAATTTTTTCGGTACTATTCCTTTTTGAGGAGCGAAAATGTATGCGCAAAAGCGCCAAATCTAGCAATCGCGCCCATCTAACTGCGCGCCAAATCTAGAGCGTACACGCTGATTTCAGATTGCGTAATCAAGTTGCCGTAATACGAAGATTCACCAAAAAATGTTTTAACAAAATTTAACACACAGAAAGGAATATATAAATGAAACGTCAATTTTTTACCAAACCTTGTTTTCACATGTATATGATTATGCTTCCTGCCACCTCCTCCATGTAAGCAATTCAATTAAATTTTTGGTCACTTTGGCTCATCTGCAGTTAATCAACATTCATCCTCTTTTACCCACCTCAGACATACTCAAATGATGATACCCACAGCAAAATAATAGCAAGTTTAAAATCGGCACATTCGGTGAAATTAGGGCACATATAAGAGTAAAGCCGCCATTTTTGGCAATGTTTATATTTACCAGGTTTTTTGCAGAAGTGCTTCCCTAAATTCGCTGCTTCGAAGAGTACATGGCGTGTACTGTTTCTGAAGTGAGCATAATTATGAACACAGCACATTAAAAAACACACAGAAAGACCCACAACTATTATAATATTATATACTTCAAAGAACTTATGAATTTTGAAATTTTTCTTTTTACTTAGTAAAATACAGTCAAAGTCGTTAATCCGGACTCGTCGGGACTACAGCGATTCCAGATTATCGATCATCAGTTTAAATCTGGGAAGATGACATGCAGAAATTATAAAATTAAAAATATGAAACCGTAATTTATGATACCGACAGCAAAATTATGAAATAAAGAACAATTATGATCTAGTTACAAAAAAAAGCTTAATATTTATTTCTTTACTTTATTAAACATTTCTTTCAATGTAAGTTGTTTAAGTTGTTTCTATATTTCTTAAGACGACATTGAAATACTAGTTTAATTTTTAAATCCTTTTTTGATATTCTATAGATTTAACAATTTGGGAATTGTCCATGACGAAAAGTCTGCAGTAGAATTTTCGGTAAAGTGTAGAATCACCCACTGCTTGACGCGTTTTTACGAATTGCATATACTCTGTATTCATGTACACATCAACCTCTTTTCACTTAAAACGTAAAATAAAATTGACAGAAATCCAATTCTTTTTACGCTTGTAAAAAGCGGCAAACACATAAGTGGGCGATTCTGCACTTTACCGAGAATTTTTTCAAAGAAAAGGCCTCATTCATTATAGAAAAACATCGCTTCACACAATGAACTGGAAGTTGATCTGGCAGCACTATCCTCATCTTCAGGGCAGATGTTTTTATTTTATTCGGCTTATAATTCCTTAGTAAATGTAGTGTTTCATCTCGATGCACTCGGATATGATTTAAATGAATTTCCTCGTCATTATAAATGTCACGAATAAGCATGAAATAGTTTTATGGTTGCAATTTTCTAATTTCGACTATGCGTAATATATGCTTTACGCATGCGCGCAGTGAAAGAAATCTTTAATAAAGTAAACAAATAGATATTAAGTTTTTTTTGTAAATTTTGATACCCTTTAAATCACAATTGCTCTGTATTTCATAAATTACGATTTCATATTTTTAATTGTATAATTTCTGCATGCCATCTTACCAGATTTGAACTGATGATCTATGTATAATCTGGAATCGCCGAAGTTCCGAGGAGTCCGGATTAAAGACTTTTGACTGTAGTACCATCTGGTTAACATGATAATTTTAACTTTGTTTTAGCTTCCTGATTTTGTTTAAGTGAAAAGAGATCGATATGTGCATAGACAAAGTTAAGGCAGTGCACAATGCCTAGTTTGTGAAATTCTCTGATTTTTTTTTTTTTTTAAAGTTAAAATAGGTCGGTGCGTACATGAACACAGAGTTTGTGTAAATCTTTGACCTTCTTGTTTTGGTTTTTGTGTAGCGGGAGGAAGGATCGGCACCATCTTGAAGTTGGTGCCAATCTTTCCTGGTTCCAATCTTGGCGTTAAAAAAAAAAAAAGATGATTCGCCAAGGGGTAC